CCAAGATTTGAAAGCAAGTATCATTTAGCCCAATCTAAGTCATTTTTCTCCAGGCTAAACAAACCATGGTTCCCTATCCATTCCTCAGAGCATCTTCCCAGGCAGGCATGGTGTGCCTGGTAACGTCCAATTTGTAAATAATTTTAATTTATGGTTCCCAAATGTATACATATGTATCCAGAATTTATCAGTTGGCTTTTTACTTTTACTAGTGCATTCTTATATTTACATCTGATTACATAGCTGTAATATTATATTAGTATCACTACAGATTCAACTTACAACTTTCAACCATCTACGCAGAGTCTGAGATCACAGAGTTGTCATAATCACAAGAATTTGAGAGATTAATCTCATAGTCTCACTCCTGAGTATCGTCATAGCAAATCATAGAATAACTGTCATTATTAGGTAACCCATAGTGGGCCTGTGTGGGCTATCAGGAATCACCCTATTCTGTTTAATATCTAACAAAATATTCCTAAGACACAGTAGTTGATTTCCCAAGTTTATCATTTCCCTCTGGAAAGTTGAGAAAACATTTTTCCTTGCTTCATCCATTTTCCATAATGTCTCAAAGATCACTAGCCATGGTGCCAGGGTTCACATCTGTGTTCCAAAGCGGAGTGTGATTTTTCTGGGTCTGGAAGCCTGAATTTATTTAATTCCTATTTACCTATCTTCAATTTAGTTTCCTTTGTACTACTTTTGGTGTATTCTTTACAGCCCTCCTTGTTAGAGAAGCCAAATAGGAGCAGTTTTGTCTTCCTTTAACAGCTATTAACATTAAACCAGTGGTTGTCAAAGTGTAATCCCCAGATGAAAAGTGTTAATGCTACCTGGGAACTTGTTAGAAATTGAAACTTTCAAGCCCTAGCCTAGACCTACTGTGTAAAGTAATCAGTGTTTTTATTTGCCAGCCAGGAAATTCTGATGCATTCGAACTGACACAGAGAGCATATTTTAACTCATCCTAACTCAAGCTTTGGTCTCATTTCTTAAGTATTCATTTGTTCTCTTTTGTTAAATTACCTATTTTTCCCCAGAATTCTCTGCATTCTGAGGTTTAGTATTCCCAATACCATTATTTTATTTGAAAATATTGTTTTGAATGTTTCCATTTTCTGCCTGTGTCCATTTTATATGAGCTCATCAGGAATTTTCCTTTGAGTTTTTCTGTCCATGTTGAGGTATATTTGATTTTAAAGTCTCAATGCAGACTCTCAATAATCTTCCGCTAAGTTTAATTGAAATTCACTTTCCCAAACGTTGGATTATATATCTGATTGTGTAAGATATTCAGGTGTGTTTTGTTTTGTTTGCCTTTTACACCTTGAATAATTTAAAAAGTCCATCACTTCAAAATCATGTTTGTAGATAGTATAGATTTTTTATGTTGTACAATCAAATTTTGGATATCCATTTTAAGCAATTCTAAGAGGCTGACATTTATTTTATATGGAGTATATACTACTTCATGAGAAGAGTTGTCTTTCCCCAAATATTTAAGATACATACATTTTCAATAAAGATGGGTATGCCACTTAAAATGTGCTGACTATAACTTTAAATCATATTACATTTCTATAAAACTAAATGAATCTTATATATATATACACATTATAAAATCAATATTCAGTACTAAGATTTCCTTTATAATATATTCATAAAAGTATAACATTGTATGTCCTTAATGCAACATGATAGGTTCTTATAACTAGCCTTAAGTTTTACTGCTATAAATTTTGGATTAAATAGTATTCTTCCATGAATGTGAAGACTTTTAAAAGTATTTTATTTAAAATATCATTAGTCTATTAATTTAATGTACTTTGCCCTTTAGTATTTTCATGTAAGTTGTTTCTGGCAACCACAATTTATTACCAATCTATTATTTTAAGAGGTTTGGAAATAATTCCTTTAAACTAAATTATTCTAATACAAAATTCACAACCAAATTGTGGGTTTAATTAAAAAAAATGGAGATGTCACCATTTCTTGTGTCTAAAATAAAGAGATCTAATGCAATAATTAAATATAGTATCTTTAAAAATAAAAAAAAACATTACATGAATGATGCATGTTTTGAAATAATTTTGAAGGCTCCTCTTCTTTGTAATAGGGAAACTATTAATAGTCTACTTTTCAACCTCTGCTTTACTGCACAATTAGGATGCTATTTGATAACAATATACCTGAAACCTCTTAAGCAGAGACAATAAGCCAAATACTTTACAGTTATCTCTGCCTAATGACATTTTCAGTGGCGATGCTCTGCTTTGTAGATAGGGCAGCATTAGGTGTACACATTGAGCCAACTTGCACACGGTGCTGTTCTGTGCACTTTCAAGACCCAAATTACCAAGAATATTTCTTCAGAACTGAAAGTTTTTCACAACTAAGCATGCTTTGAGTCATTCTGCCTCTAGTGTGCATAAAATATGGCTTTCTTTTTATAGAGGCAGGAAACATGAAAATATAGTTTAATGAAGAATTCTGAACTCTTTCATTGAGTGTTTGGTTTATGTATTCATTTTCTTCCCTCTCTTACTGTAAGTTATGCATTTTTAATTCTTTTCTAGGTCATTATTTTACAGGTTTAAAATGAAATGGAGGTTTTGGAAGCTCAGACAGTTTGCTTGCTTGCTTAAATTCAGCAATTTTAGTGCCCCCTGAAGGGCATTCTAGCATATGGATTGATCTTGTAAAAGGAATTCCTTTTCCTAGATGGAACTGAAGATGATAAATACTTTTGAATCCTGCATCTACCTTGACCACAATGCTCATTAACTTTCAACATGAATAATTGTTGGAGGAATTTCTGATGCTGTAGAATGAATTCTTATTGATTACTACCTCTTTAAAGAATATTTTAATGATCACAACTTTAAAAACCTTTACAAAAATAGCCATATTTATATGAAATATATCCATAATGCCATAAAATCCTATGCAGTAGAGTTGTTAAAGGACTGAGACTTTTGAAAGTCCATTAATCAACTTTGGGATATGCTTGAGCTATGGGCTACCTGAGATCTATGAGAGTGTATCAAAAGCAGTAATATGAGTAATTGCGTGTGAGTAAAATGGACCATGTACAAACAGTAGATATGTTATTTTTAAATATTAGCTTTTCATTTTATTAAGGAAATAGCTTAGTAGAAAGAGGACAAAGTATAATAAAGAAAAGTAGACATGCATAACTTTCATATTTGAATTTCACAGTTCTTCATAAGGATATTGGTCCTTGCCGAGCAGCAACAATAACAGGGACGCTCTCTAGGATTTCTTTAAATGATGATGAAGAAGAAAAGGGAACAAATCCCGAAGAGCTAAGCTATTCAACATTGCCTGGAAATGTCATTTCTAAAGTCATTATCCAGCAGCCCACGGGTTTGCACATGCCCATGAGTATGAATGAGCTGGGCAATCAATGTTTGAAAAAGGAGAACAGTGAATTGCGGAGAACTGTGTACTTATGTACAGATGATAATTTGAGAGGGGCTGATATGGACATAGTCCATCCTCAAGAAAGAATGATGGAAAGTGACTACATTGTGATGCCCAGAAGTTCTGTAAACACCCAGCCATCAATGAAAGAGGAAAGCAAAATGAATATTGGCATGGAAACCCTGCCACATGAAAGGCTATTGCACTACAAAGTAAATCCTGAGTTCAACATGAATCCCCCTGTGATGGACCAGTTCAGTATGAACTTAGATCAGCATCTTGCACCCCAGGAACATATGCAGAATTTACCCTTTGAGCCCCGCACAGCTGTGAAGAATTTCATGGCCACTGAGTTGGATGATAATGCAGGACTATCAAGAAGTGAAACTGGATCGACCATATCAATGAGTTCTTTAGAGGTAAGCAATAAACTTTTTCTTGGCATTTGAAACATAAGAGATTGGTGTGGTCCTGGACAGAGAGAGAAGAGTCACATCACCTTTTGCAGTTAAGTATCCATAAGAATTTTTGGCATGTTGGGATTAAAATAGCCTGAATGTATGTTTTTTTTCCAGTAGTGCATCAGAATCCTCTTTCTCAAGATCTTGTTTTTAAAAAGGAACCCTCTATATCAGCGGTTCTCAAACTGTGGGTCGCAACCCCTTGGGGGGTCAAACAACCCTTTCACAGGGGTCGCGCCTAAGACCATTGGAAAACACATATATAATTACATATTGTTTTTGTGATTAATCACTATGCTTTAATTATGTTCAATTTGTAACAATGAAATTGGGGGTCACCACAACATGAGGAACTGTATTAAAGGGTTGCGGCATTAGGAAGGTTGAGAC